GAAGAAGAAGAAGAAGAAGAAGAAGAAGAAGAAGAAGAAGGGGGAGAGAGTGTGTGTTTTTGGAACGAATTGTATCTGTACTGACATTTCGAAAGCGCGCTCGTTTCCATCATCAGAGTGCAAGGTTCACCCTTCCGTAGGCCTTGAGTTATTGTGCCTCGCCGCCAGCCTTGTATTGTCACCGTGCCCAATGCACGTGCCTTCGCTTGCCCGTTAGTCGTTGGTTGGTTGTGCTCTCTCCACTATCGATCAATGGCGGGCTTGCGTCTCCTTCGTGCCCTTCACGAGTGTGCTTCCGAAACGTCAGTACAAATACAATTCGGTCCGAGAGCTCGCTCCCTCTTCTCCTTTTTTCGGGAGATGATGAACGATCGAGTTGTTTTCTACTTCTCAATTACTTCCCGGGACTCGCATGTTTGCTGTATTAGAGTTTAGGTAGTCAACAGTATCAGCCTTTTCTAATTTTTCTTGAGCGTATCTTAGAGCAAAAAACTAAAGTCGGTATTTTGTATTGTAGCCAACCGAGGAAGGCGCAGCGACGGACGAGGTAAGCCGAAGCGAATTAAATTTTTGTTTTAATTTCCAAAGGATTTTAAAGTTATAAAATCTTTATTACCGGGACAACGATACTGTTTAGCCCCGGAAACTGTCTACCAAAGCTGCTATCGGCCAGGCCTAGGGTAGCCCTCAATATCCGCAATATGTACCAAGGGTTTACTATGGTTCCCCATTGGGTTATTAAAAATCCTTGTTGATGCGGATATAACTATCAGATTAAAAAAGAATACTCCAGGTGATAATTTTTTGACTCAAAGCTGTATCAATAGGATTTGTGACTACACTGGGATTTAGTTGGTTCTAGTCGCCTCTGGCTTCATAGTAGGTTGAAAATGTATCAGAAAAGATTTATAAAATCCAAAACCCAGGTGAAGGTACAGGCCGTCTCAAATCAGACTGGACATGAAACCTCGCATCTTGGAAAAGTAGTTCGTCATATTCCTTCGATTGGTATGAACAAATTACTGCATTTGGCGAGCAGATCTGAGCGCAATCTAGCAGGTTAAGCAGGGTTTATTTCAGATATGTCAGTCCCATTCGAGACAATTGGTTAATAATGTTTCAACTGCTGGCTGGAGACACTTCAGCCTGGAAGAAAAAAATTGCCTTTTGTAATTTGTCATATAATATTGTGTCCATTTGAAAGGAATAAAAAACGAAATAGTAGATTGTAGACTGAAATTCTTTACCAAGGCAAGGCGGACAGAGTTATCATCTAATCAGGATTCATTAATGTCCTCTTCGGCAAACGGCAGCTTCCTTATAGCACTAGGACCGGGAACAAAATATGCATGTTCATATGTGATCAGCAGATAAGGCATGATGAATGGCTAGTCACTTTCAAGGAAGTTCTAAAGCAGTGCCTCGTTCTTTTCCTGCTAGATTAAAAGCAAGCTGGAGACTTTGTAGGTTTTCATTTAGGGTTTTAAGTCAATCT